AAATATTATTTTACCTATTATCATTAATAAAACTATTCTTTATTCTATTCTTTTATCTTATTGCTTCTATAAATTATTTTTTTTTATTTAATTTTTTTTCTTTTTCTTATAATAATATAAAGTAGAAAGCTAGTTTTCTTAATTAGTTATTTTGGTAAATACTAACTTTATATTATTAAATATTTTATTTTTCTTCTTGTAATAATATAAAGTAATAATTATATTTATGAATAGTATTTTGATAAGTACTAGCTTTATGTTATTAGAATTTAAAAAGCCATATATAGCTTAAAATAGCCTAATTATCTGTTACTAATCATCTCTTCTAGTGTCTTAGAATACTTCTAAGTCTAACACAAGTAATCCTTATAAAGAGTAAACTATTTGTTAAGTCTGACCAATACAAAAAGAACAATAGGTCAAATCTTCCCTATAATCAGCCTATCATAAAAATCCTTATAGTATCTAGAAGACTATTGAATTAAATTCTATTTTTAAATATTTATTTCTTATTTTTGTTATTTTTATTTATTTTATTTTTTTTAAATAAAAGATCTTTTACTTGACATTTATATATTTAAAATTACTACAACTTGTTAGTTTTTAGTAAATTTTATTACAATATTTATTTAATTGCAAGTTAATATATAAAATTTTGTATAATTATATTTTAATTCAAATGTATCAAGTTGATATATCATGCTTAATAAGATGACTAATATATATATTGTATATATAAATTAGTAATTATTTAAGCAAATTTAAAATACAATAAACTGTATATAAATTTAAAATTATTTTTGTATTAAGATTAAATTTTTATTTAAATTATTTATATTTTTTTATTAGTATACTAAAGTAGATTTGAGCATTTTTACTAACTAACAATCATATTATGTTCAGTTAATTTTATATCATATTATTTTATATAATTACATAATATTAGAAGAAAATTCATCCTAGTAAAAACTAACAATATTTTCAACATTATATATTATTTTTTTAAAAAAATATAATTATATAAATATTAAAATAAATATTATAATATAAGCAGAATTTTTAAATTTATCTTGAATAGAATTTAAACTTTTATTGTTATTTAAAAATAATAATTTTAATTATTTTACTAAGTTGTTATATTTTATTTTTATAAAAAAAATTATTTGATATTATTAATAATATTTATTACTAAATATAAATTTTATTAAAATTTATAATTAAAATAAATAGAAAGGTTCTTGTTATATAAGTTATCTGCTTTAAATTTTCTTTTTAATATCTTCACAGATAGTATTATTAAAGTTATACTACTTCTTTATTCAAGATTTCTAAGCAGACTTCTTATTTAAATATATACTTTTCAAATTTATTCATATACCATTGCATATTCATAAAGTTAATCTTGATACAACTAGAATTACAAGATTACAAATTTCAGATTATAGTTAAGGTATTTTAAATCAAAATTTAAAAAAAAATTACTTAAAATAATTTGCTTGATTCTACGTATTAGCATCCCCATATATAAAATAATCATTTTAGTCATTTAGGCTTTAAAATAATGACTAGTTATTTGTCATTTGGATTATTAGACTAACGCTAATGAGCTTAATGTATTTTTTATAATACCATATTTGCGCAAATTAAGGAGAGCTAAGAATTAATTTAGCCGAATACGAACAATAATTTTAATTTTTAAAAATTTTAGCTTAAATTAAATTCTTAGCTTTCTTTAATCTCTTTAAATAAATAATATCCCGCGAGCGTTATTTCCAAAATTAGAGGTCTGTCGAATAATAACGATAAAGATTAATTGCAATAGTAGATTTTGGCAACTCAAGCTTAAATATAATGGCGGGTTGTGAACTTAGTTGGTAAAAACAGGATTTTATTTAGTAGAGATACAAATGAATTTTTTTAAATTTTTAGCGTTAGGAGTTTGTATTATAACTTAATACAAATTAAAAACATGGACACTATTGCTATCACAGAACTTATTGATCATTAATACGATAAAAGATTTAATTAGTTTAATTAGTTTAACAATACAGTAGCCAAAAATAACCCAGCATTATTGTTATGATGGTATGATAAAATAGGTACGTACGTATGAAATTTATAAAAGCATATGTAAGTGCTTACGTACGTCTTATTAAAATATTTACTTAAAAATTTAACGATACAGATTTTTAAGTTCAAAAAAAATGAATTTTGACATGATTTTTCTTGTAGTTATCACATCCTTTATTATCGCATTCGTTTTAGACTTAATCAATTTAATGATATTGGATAGACTATTGGCGGATAAAAGGTGGCAAAGTACGAAACAGGATAAAGATCAAGCCAAGAACTTGACAGATTTGGAAGATGTACGAAGTGATTATGATAATCAAAAAGAGAAAAATAAAGAAATGATAAAGTGCGATGAAGATGATGAAGGAACGGATACGTTAAGTGAAGAAGAATTTGAAGAAACTAATCAAGCTATTACATTTGTGAAGTCTTAAGAATGGTTCGTGTTACCTTGAGATATGTTTGCAAAGTTGATGGTTACAAATATCTGATGTTGATAATTAAAATTAAATTAATTAATTGAATATTCAACAGAACAAAATTAATAATGAAGATATTTGTTGCAAATCTTAATTTTGATTAATATGAATTCAGAAAGAATTTATACGTAGAAGCATGTTAAATATATTTAACGCATTACTATAAACAGAATATATAAAGTTACGAGGGAAATAAAAGTGAACGAAAGCGTAAATAAATACATAAATACATACTGATACGATGTATACGTATGTACGTACTTAGATACGTACGTACGTACGTATTTGATGTTTCATTTTTCGAGATCCACCATGAATTTCCAATTTAATCTTAATGGAAATGGTCTCAGACCTATAACTACATGGTTAAGTTATAAATATACACGCCAATTAGGACTTACCTAGATTAGGTCATCGCGTTATCTCTTAATAGGCAAAGATTTTTGTCATTGTATCGTTTTATATTGTACCTCGAAATTATGATAATTACAAGAGGTCTATGCTATTTATGTATAATATTTTTTTTTTTCAGAAACCTTATCAACTATTAATTTTTTGCACAATGATCTTTTAAATTATTGAAAGACGAAAGTTTGGATTCATGATTATCATTATACCATTTTTGTCAACTGTATTAACTTTTTTGGTTCCCTCAAATTTCAGGGCTGAAAAACGTTATTGTGTTAGAAAAAAGGAATGAAATACATGTCAATGTGTGCATAGGTGCAAACGCACCTACATGTTGTGAATTGAATTGAATTTGTAATTAACCAATGGAATTTGTATTCTAATTGCTAAGAAAGTCTTCACAATTGCTTATAATTGTATTTATTATCCAAAATTCCAGTGATACGTAGCGTTAGAAACCCTCGGATTTGAGGTACATACTGTATTCTTGTTTACATACCATACCGTGTGACCAAGCCCAAACGGAAAAAATTTCTGGTTTTGAAGACGAAAATCTACAAACAAGAATCATGTGATTATAAATAGACATTACATTCGCGTGTACTTTTTCTTAAAAGAATATGTATAGTCTTTATCTACTAATACCGTATTAATACTTTAAAACTAATATTGTAAATACTTCTCTTGATGAACTGTGAAATTAGAAACATTTGAACGTTACAACATGAATAACTTTATACTTACGTACGTATTTATGTACATACGTACCTTCAATTAGTGTTATTCATGCTATACGAAAATGTCAAGAAATCATGTGTTGAACTGCCACAAAAATAACAAAAATAAGATTTTTGATTAATAATTTACGTTAATGTTTCTTATGCTGATATATCACTGGTTGTATTAATATTGTTATGTCCGGTTTGATAATAAAACTGGTTATTACTAGCTTAGCCATAAATATATGATCAGCATAAATACGAATGTGCTTGAGATTATTAGAAAATTCCCGTTACTTTTTTTTTCTTCTTTTTTAAAAAATTTTATTTTTTTTCGCGTAAAGCAAGTGACATTATGAGTTGTCGTGGTCAACCTTTCAGGTCTTGGAATGCTGCTGCTCTTGGTTTGTCTCAAAAAGCCGAGGTTGCAATATTTTTATTATACGTTTTTCCATTTATATTCTCCGAATGTTCTCTAAAACCCTTAAATTATTTTTATTTTTTTTGGTTAGACTTTTCAGCAAGAAACTTCTGATTCTGCTAAAGCTTATGCGAGTAACTCTGGGAAATGTAAATCACGTAGAAATACGTGGCATGAATCTAACCTGCACAAATATTGTAAGTTATTTTGTCAAATTCATTCTTACCAAACGAATTATTATAAATATGGCTGTGCAATAACCACATTAATTATAGATAATGAATGTGAAGGCTCCCAAATTGATAAGGAATCATCTCGAGAGTATTCTAGGTCTTCTGATAGGCCTGATTGGAGATTTAACCAACCTTCTTGGAGGCCTACTTCTTCACGTTCTTCACATGATCGTCCTAAGCCAATTAGATCTGCTTCTAATGATGGTTATAATACGCGTAATAATTTTGACAACTCAGGCGAGAAGGCTTGGCGACCGTGGAATTTAAATGAAATTAAAGATGATGAACATGTAAGACTATCCTCTTTTTTTTTTTAAACCAAAAAAATCCTTGTTCAGTATTATTTATGTTTATTTTTACCTTTTTATTTATCAGGGCTACGCGCCACATTCCGAGGATGAAAAGGTGATGTCAATTTCATACCTATTCTCTTTTGTATACGACTAATTTTTTATTAATTTTGTTTATTATTACCAGAATTATGAGACCTCTTCACAGTACTTAACTAAACATGAAGAAAATACTGTAGGAAATTAATTTTATTACTTTAGTGCTATTTTTACATTTCTGTTTATTGATGTTTTAATATATTTTTTAGGATTACTCTTCATCTTGGAGATCCTCATCTCAAGACAATCTCATGGTACTTTGCTCTGCATCCGTATACCATTAATTTGATATACTAACTTTTACTCTATTTTATTTAGAATGTTGATGATGATGCATTCATATATTCCAGTGAAAAAACTGTAATATGTTTAATCTTTTATAATTTAATTTATTTAAAATTCTCTTGTTAAACTAAAACTAATTTCAATTACTATTATCAATAGGACGAGAAATATGTTAATGCTACTACTAATCAGAATAATTCTGACTTGCCGAGAGTGGTAAATTAATACCTTGTATACATTCGTGTAATTTAAAAATTATAAATCTAGTATACATACATATACATACATACATACATACATACATATTTCTTTTTTATCTTCACTTAGATTACCGTAAAAATTTCACAATTATCATTGACTGATAGGTTGGTTTTACCACTTTCAACTTATTATTTTAAGCTTATTATTTTTAACTTCCATGTTTTTAACATACGATAAACTACATTGTGTAAGTGATCATTCCGATGATACTATTACTCCGAAAACTCCTGAACAGGTACCAACCAATCCGACTGATGATTCATCTTTACTCATCAATTTGGATGACCCTCAAACTGCTCCGGAACAAGTGTCATATAAAATCTCTGAAGATATTTTTTGTCTTGATTGGGAACAATACCAATTTTCTATTTTGGAGAATGAGTTACGAGCTTCAAAACAAAATCCTCCACTGGTTTGTTTATTCAATTCATGCTATATATAATTCATGTTATTAGATTATTATCATATCAAATTTTAATTTTAATTGTTAATTTTTTTCCCCTACTAATTCATTAATTAATTAATCTATTACAGTCAACTCGATGCAAATTATCAAAAGAATTGATCGAATTTGATGGCTTGTAATAATTTCAATTGATCGAATTTTATGGCTTGTAACAATTTCTATACTACTTCTGTCCCATGAGTTGCTGTTGATAATGCGGTTTAATGTGCAGTAGTTTATAATCACAATATAATGCAATTATTAAATACGTTTATACTCTTAAATATTCATTGTATTAAAGCTTATTCTTTAAAATAAATCAATTTTAAAATATCTAACACTTTCCAATGCTTATATAGAAAACATGACGAAACAAACTGCAAATTGTTTTCGTGTTCATAATTCCATAATGCATAAATTTTACTTTCTCTGAATAATATGATCATCTAAGTTAACATTTTTCTTATTCTAAAGCAAACTTGGATAAATCGATCACCTAACCTGTCTAAAACCGAACTTTGGAATTTTAAATTGATTATGAAGTTCGGTTTAGACACTAAGTACCTTTTTACTGTAAATAGGTTTTTTTTTTTTTTCTTGTCAACTAGGTAAATAAATTACGTATTAATGATCAATGCGTTATTACATATAGATATTATCTAAATACCCGGGTTGTGTAACAATCCTTAAATGCTTATCTGTTATCGTTATTAGTACCCTCCGGACAATAAGCCCCTAAGGTTCGATATAGAGAATGTTAACTGTATATAAAATATTTTTTCACAGCAAGAGCGTCCGGAATTCTATAATGTAAAAATAATTTTATTATTATAAGTAAACTGTACCCTATATTGCTTTTTAAAACCGATACAAAAATATTTAGCATTAGATTTATATATAATATACTATCTGCTATATAAATAAATAAATATTTATTTGTTTTTGCTATTTTAATTAAGAATCTACGTATAATATGCGATTTTAGAGTTTTAGATTTTGGTTGCAATTTCTAGGTTCAGACGTTATGTGTTAGTCCAAACAGACGTATTTGTTTTCTAAATAAAAATGTTGCGTGTAAAATTAAAGTTAAGAAAACCGTGTTATAGTTAGGGTTAGGATTAGAAAAATGTAGCGTCTATTAATAAAATTTCATAAGGAACCTTTTAAATAGACTGCAGGTGGTTTTCTAATTAAAATTTAGAACTATTCTTGCTTTCTGTAAGAAAGTTAAGGATGGGCGTTGGGATTTAGAACAATGTTGTCATTAGAATTAAAATCAATTAGTATCACTAGTACTTTAAGTTCTAGTGATAGCAAGACTACCAAGTAAAAAAAAAACTTCTGATTATACAAATTATTTATAGAACTAAGCTTAATATAAATAAAATAAAAAATACTATAGGAATTATAATACGACAGGGTGAAACCTGAGTTGCGAAATAGTGAAATCCGCTATGATCATCACATGAGGGTGAAATCCGCT